TCTGCCCACTAGATTCCAGCAGGATTCTCCCCCAGTTGTCTCCGTACATTGCCAAACATCCCGGGGTAGGGCTGGGGGGATTGCCCATGGGTGGGGAGGTGTGCCCCTGGCTCAGAACCACTGGTTTAAAGTATCTCTAAAAATATCCTGGCCCGGCCAGCATGGTTCAGTGGTTGAGCCTCAACCCATGAACCAGGAGGTCACGGTTTGATTCCCTGTCAGGGCACGTGCATGGGTTGCAGGTTTCATCCTCAGTGGGGGATGCAGGAGGCAGCCGATCAATGATTTTTCTCTTATCATTGATGTTTCTATCTCTCCCTCCCTCTCCTTACCTCTCTGAAATCAATAAAAATATTCTTAAAGATGTATATTGTAAAAATAAATAAAAATATTGTTACTAATGAATATTGGCTCTTCATCTCTACTACCCTACTACCCTCAGACTTCTCACATGTGCTTTCTGCCTCAAATTTAATGCCATTTTTAGATTCCCTAATCTCACCTATGAATGACTGCCTGTGTCTCACTCTATTTCTTCAAAACCCAACTGAGTTCGAATTAGACCTTCCCAAATTAGACTTATCTGACCCCTTTCCGTTATTCTGAATTTTGCATTATTTTGTAGCCCTCCGAACATCTGTGCTTAACAGGACCTGTTTTTTCCTATAAACGTAGATGCTGGTACAGTCATTTAGACGGGGGCCTGTTTTCCTTTCCTACCTGATTGTCTGAGCTGGGTGCTTTTCTTTGTGTCTTTTGTGTTATGCATATCCAGGGCCTTCATGTACTCGGCATAATCACAGTGAGCCCCGGCTGAGGATTTGTGGCCTCTGAGACCTGTCCCTTAGGCAGCTTCCATTTTGGTGGGGTGTGGAGATAGATTGGCAAATATATGTAGTACAGCACGCGGTAGAGGTGGCCTGCAGGCCAGCGCCTTGGGGGATGGGGAGGATTTCCTTGGGCAAACAGTTGTATGCAAAAGGGATGAAAGGTCTATTTCCATAAACAGCCTTGGAGAGGACTTCAGGAGCCTCATTTCCCCGCCTTCCCTTTTGGCCCTTAGTGTCACCCACCAGCATCCATCTCCTCTTGCAGGTACCTGCTATTCCTACAGGAGGGGGGACATGGAAACTCCTATGGTCTTTATATTACATGCTACTTGGTTCCACCATCAGGCTCATTCCAGGAGAAGCAGACATGCAAATGTCTGTGTGCATGCATACGTGCATGTTGGATTAATGGAGCCACGTTTTGGCCTTACTTCTGTTTGAAAGGATTTTATTGCTGTATAATCCCAGCACCCCAGTCTCCAGGGCTGCTGCATACGGGTGTGCAGATTGTGTGCTTCACAAGCACATCTGGCAGCCACGATGGTCTCTGGCAGGCTCTCTGTCACAGGCAACAAGGTGAGAGGGAGCTTGAGTGGATAGATTACTCCCTGTCTCCACTAAAGAGGATGGACTGAGAGCGTCTTAGACTCAGGGTTCCGCATTTTATACTTTAGGAAAAAATAGTCACAACTCTCATGCAGTCAGTGACTCTAGGAATTTGATGGGTTGGTAAAGAGTTAGAAAGCACCCTAGTCAGAACTGTCTGTTTCTACTAACTTTAAATATATTTTTATTGATTTCAGAGAGGAAAGGGAGGAGGGAGAGAAATAAAAACATCAATGATAAGCGAGAATCATTGGTTGGCTGCCTCCTGCATACCCCACACTGGGGATCGAGCCTGCAACCCAGGCATGTGCCCTGACTGGGAATTGAACACTGACCTCCTGGTTCATAGGTTGATGCTCAACCACGGAGCCACGCCAACCAGGCTATTTCTAATAACTTTAAGCTTCTGGCCATGCCAGATTCCACAGGGCTGCAGCGTGCCCGGTTTGTTTATAAATCAGCCTCCCCGCATATTGTCGACAGGAGTCTCGGTTGACTAATGTTTATTCATTCACTTGTGGAGCAAAACTTGGGCTACGAATGTGAACACGAATGCTTTTTTTAATAGATGGTGTTATTGGGCTGCGCGGTGTCCCTGACTTTCAGATATTTAACTCGTAAAGTTTACAGCAACACTTAACTGCGTCTGGATTCCACATTGAATTTGGGAAGGCAAGGATCTCACTGTAATTTGCACTGACTGCCCTGTAATGGAAATTATGGCTTGGGAAAAGTTTCAAATGACGTGTCTATAAACTAAGGAAAAGTTGATCCATTTAAAGGCTGGTTGTGTGCAATTGTGGGATTTTTTTTTTTTTTTTTTGAAAGGGCCATTGCCAACAAGAAATACGTATTTCAGCAGCTGAAGTAAACTAGCCATGAATTAAAAGTTGGTCTTTGTAAATTGTTGGTTCATCAAATTCGGCCCTGAACATGGAGTGAGTTTAGCAGAGCTGTGCTGGGCTCTTAAGAGAGCTGTAAAGGTTGTGTGAGTCCAGTGTTGCCGTTGGACGGTGGCACTGAGCGGGCCTGAGAGGACAAACAGCCTTTTTATTGGTCAGGACGCTGGCCCAGGGGGACTTGGGACACAGGGCTTGCTGGTCCTTGCCCTGCAGTGAAGTGGGTTTGTGTCAGCAGGTATGTCACTTCCTCTTCCCAGCATCCATTTGTCTGTTTCTTGGCTCCTGTCCCCTACTTCCCTCCCCACCCTTTGTTTATTTTAGTATCTCCCGTTCATGTTCATGACTTTCCCTCAAATGTCTAATGATCATTCCTTGACTGTTCTTGGCTCATATGTAAGACCGAGGCAATAAAAAGCTGATGAGAGGCTGTGGGTGGAGGCGCGGACGGGGCCTGCTGACCAGGGGCTTAGCTGCAGGGAGATCATTTAATTAGGGGAGAGCCAGATGTCCACATCTGGAACTCTCTTCTCCGAGCCCACGTAACTTCAGCAGCGAGGAATCCCCCTGACAGGCTGCCCGTGGCCCTGGGAACCGTGGAGTGGGCGTATTTGTCCTTCCGCCCCTGTCCTCAGCTCTGTGCAGGCAGGCCGGGAGGCAGTGTGGGCTCGCTTCCCCCGCCGCAATAAAAGGAGTCGAGCAATAGTGAGCGGTAACCTTTCTGCTGAAGGTCTTGCCTTCAGTTTGTAAAAACACACTTCTGTGAAGAGCAATAAAACGAGGTATGCCTGCACTCTCCCAGTCCACCTCACCTGTGCTTCATCCCCTGGTTCAGTGTCTGGATAATCAACCTTTTCAACAACCCTGTTTTCAGCCCTGATCCTTCCCTTCCTTGCCTGTTGCCGTTCATGGCACCTTCAAGTCCACGGCCTCCCTGGAGCTTCAGCAAGTGGGTTCCCTCCTTTACCCTGGGTCTCCTCTGCTGCGGGCACTAGAGATTGTAGCTTCCTCTACTCTCTAGGGCAGTGGTCGGCAAGCTGCGGCTCTCGAGCCACGGTTTGTGAGCCACGGTTTGCCGCTCTGTTGACTAATGAATGAGTTTGCCAACCACTGCTCTAGGGGCTTAATCACAAGGAACAACAACAGCTGTAATTATTGCAATGGAGAGGCCAGTGGTCGGCAAACTCATTAGTCAACAGAGTGGCAGGTGGCTCTGGAGCCCCTGTTTGCCGACCACTGTTCTAGGGGGATCCGTCTTTCAAAGCACTGGTCGGAATACTTACCTGCTGATGTCTCCCCTTCCTTCTGTCCCTGGGAGTTTATCCCTTTACTTTAGCAGGACGTGGATGGCGAGGGAAACAAATGCCCTTGACCCATCTGCCATGTTAGACCAAAGTCTTCCATTTTCTCACCCTAAAAGTAATTGGCATATCCATTCACTCATTGCTGTGCATCTCCTAATGCTGGGCCCCGAGCTGAGTGCCGGAGAGCTGAGGAAGGCCCGGACAGTGCCTCGCCTCTGAGAAGCAGAAGAAGGAAGTGCTGTGCGGGGACAGAGCCTGAAGGGTGCAGGGACATATGGACAGGGACATACGGACAGGGACATACAAACGGGGACAGTGCCAGCCTGAAGTGGTGCAGAGACCGGAAGGGGGGTGATGAGCTCGGCCGGGACATTGGGGAAGGCCAAGCTGAATAAACGAAAACCCTGTGGCTTCGTGAATCCCACTGTGGGGGGAAGGCTGCGACCAGACCGCGCCCATTAATTATTACCGAGCGAGTCCAAGGAAAAGTGGTGTATCCGGCCCAGATCTTCAAAATCGCTCTGCTGGCTGGGTGGGCCTTGGTCTCTCCAGGGCCCTCCAGCTGCAAATGGCCCGCTGCTCCCCACCCACCGCCTCCCAGACTTCCCACGGTTGCCCTGCACACTCAGAAAGGAGTCTGGCCTTGGGAAGATCCGAAATTGCAGAAGGCCTTCCCAGGGTGCGGGACATTGCATCTGCCCCTCACTGCTGCCTCCCAGCCTGTGAATAGCTCGCTGCTGACAGAGACCTTGTCAGTGTTGTTGAGAGGTGCTACTGCTGATCTCTCTGACTTTTTCTTTAAGATTGATTTCAGAGAGAGGAAAGGAGAAGGAAAGAGAGAAACAGCCATGATGAGAGAGAATCATTGATTGGCTGCCTCCTGCACACCCAACATCGGGGATCCAGCCTGCAATCCAGGCAAGTGTCCTGACCAGGATTGAACAGTGACCTCCTGGCTCGTGGGTCATGCTCAACCACTGAGCCACACCAGCTGGGCTCGACTTCCTTATTATAAGGAATTTCATGTACTTGAAATTCCAGCAATGTGGAACAGCTAAAGCATAGCCAAAGCCCATCAATTAACCTGTTAACCCAGCAAACAACCTTGATAGTGTTTTCATTGAGGCTTGAAGATAGCACCACAAAAGGCCCAATATGTCACACATTCAGACTGGCTCCCAACACCAGGGTCAGCAGGGCTGGTTAGCGGGGCCCTACTGATGAACTTGAACTCTGTGAGTGCGCCAGAGGTGGTATGAGGCAGGAAACAGGAACCTCTCAGTGTGTGTTTTGGCTATCCCCCGCCCTGCTGAAAAGATTGGTTTCTCTGCCTTCTCCTTTCAGTGATAAAAACATGACAGAACTGATGTGTGGCTGCAGACAGCAGCCACGTTATAGAAACGCTTGCATCCTTGCCAGTTGCCAGCCTAAGGAGCATCACGTGGCCATGAGAATCCAAGTGTTTCTATCCCACAGCCTATGCACAGAGGCGGATTCTATCTCTGGGCAATAGCAGCCAGTGTTCCAGTTTCATATTTTTATTGGCATCGTAAACAGACAAGCGGGAGAACTATCTGGGAGTCTGTGTGTGGCAGCCCGCGCAATTCATATCGCATTTCTTTTTGTAGCAACTGGGAGTGAAAAAGTGCTCCGGGCTGCGGCACACGGCACACGGATGTCCTCATTGAATGTGGTCCTATCCAGTGGGTTGCGCTATTCTCAGTTCATGCTGACAACGTGCATAAGTTAGTCCATGAAGTGGTGAGTCAGGGTCACCACGAAGCAGCCAGGAAGCGTGTGAGGAGGCTCCACTGGTCCCTCCGTAGCGCCGGGCAGCTGCTCCTTGTGGGCACCGAGGACCTCCTTTCGTTTTAAGAACTTGAAGCTTGAAAGGTCGCCCAAGGAAGCATCGAATGTGGACAAGATGTTTTAGGCCTGATGGACGTCTCTCTGGAAGTTCTGCTTTTCTGTCAGGTACCAGAGTCTGCATCCTCGACAAAGAGGAGAATCCTGCCTGAGGTGCTTCCAGGCGGTCTTTTTGTCAAGGTGGCATTTAGAAGCTTCTGGAAGTCCATTTCACCATTCATAATTTCAGGGCATGTGAGCCTAAGTCCAGGTAATGGAAGGTGATGAAACAAAGTAAGAAAACCACTTCAAAACCTTGCTTTGCAAATAGAAGGCAAACATTCTTGATTCTTTGTGAAGCAATATTACAAGTTTGTGTGAATGTCAATGGTCAACAGCATTTTGGGGGGCATAAGATACTTTCTTCCCCTTTTCCAGAGAGGTACTGGATCGTGAAGAAGAATACAGCCTAGTTCAGTGGTTGAACATTGACCCATGAACCAAGAAGTCACTGGTTGATTCCTAGTTAGGCCAGATGCCCAGGTTACTGGCTCGGTCCCCAGAAGGGGGCGTGCAGGAGGCAGTGACTGAAGTTTTTCTCTCTCTGTCCCTCTCCCTTCCTCTCTTAGAAAAAACTAATAAAAAAATTGAAAAAGAGAGTAATACAAATTGTGTGTGTACATCTGCACATACAAACTAATAGAAGAAAAAAAAAAGGTAGCTAAGAAGGTAATAATGAAACTATTTCAAAAATTATATAATTTGGAAGCAAAGGAAAGCTTTAGAAGATGGTTTGTGGGAATACTGTTTGTTATACTGGGCATCAGTTACAAAAATAAAGGCAAAAGTGGAGGACATAAAAATGTCAATTGGCCTCTTAACTCTTTCCCCTTTACACACACATTTTTGTTTCTGAAAGGAGTTCTTTTCTTTTGCAGTCACACACCTTATGTAATCACGCATTCTCTCTGAAGGAATGCGTTCCAATGAATCAGATTCAGGCCCCGTCTCAAAAGCTAAGCGCCTCGAGCATCTATTCCTAAACTTGAAGCAAAATGGTTTTGTGAGTTTTTGAGATGTTTTCCACACAGACATTTGCAATCATCACTCTGTTCTCTCTCATCTTTCTCCTTTCTGTTCGTTTTCCTGGCTTCGGCCTCCACTCTCTCGTGCCTCACTTCGGTAAGCACCTTGCGGGATGGGTCTGTCAGTCACCCTTTGCGCCCGTGACCTGCCCAGCATTCCAAGGGACCGTTTTTAGGAATAAAACATCTTTCCCCGGTGAGCATTGTCCGCTGCCTCCGCTCCAGTGAGCACAAGTGAAGTGCACAAAGCGTACCTCTCTGAAATGGGACATACTTTGGGGCTACAGCAAACTTAAATGAGTGTGAGTACGGGCTGCGTTTGAAAACCAGGTTTCCCTTGAAGAGCAGTTTGTGTCCGTGCATTTAGATAAACACAGGGTAGTTCTAGGCCAGTGACCTCAGACCGCCCCAGCTGCAGCGTGATCGTTGTAGGAGAGCAAATGCTGACCTACCCTCTGTCCTCACTTGTGCTGTCAAATCCTTGAGACCCGACTGGAGGAAGCCATTCAGAGAATCTTTGTCTCTTGTTTCAGAAATTGGCTTTTAAGGACCTACAATGGCAAAGGCCCAGGAAGCAGGGTTTGTGAATAAAAAGTCCCAGAAATTCTTGGCAGAGGAGAAAGTGTGAAGTGAATGTGACGTGATGAACACACCAGGAATAAGTTTGCCACGACTGTCCAGGTTTAATCTGCCAGTGGGAAGCCCCATGGATGGATTTTCGTGCTGTCGTTTTGCCCCATCTCCTCGCCACTGTGTCTGCACCCGTGCCCATCCCCTGCTAGTGCCTTTTGGAGTTCGTGGGTGGACCTTACTTGTACCACGTGCAGGAAGCACTTTCTGTACCAAGGTGCTGGGAACAACATCTGTCATTACATCAAAGCAGGTGTGACTGCCAAGTGCAGCTGGAAGAGTTCTAACAATGAGGTGGTTTTAAAGGAGGTTAAAATGAAAAGAAATCTGTGTGCAGCGTCTGAACCTTTTTCTGAGAAAACAAAAATGTGCTCCTCTTCCTCCAACCTCACTGAATAAACAATTTTTTTTTGCACATTTAGCAGTGTGAGTTTTTCTTTGGTGCTGTGAGAAGCAGCCTTATAGAGGTTGCTATGGCGTTGAATTCTGTCCCTTGAAGTGGAAAAATCCCTCAGAAAAATGTGGTGTTTGTGGATTCCAAACCAGTATGAGGATTTCTGATTGAGTCTGGAAAAGTGATAATAAACTCATTCTACAATTAGAAAGTTGAAGAGCTGCCCTCCGGGTTGTGAATCCCGATCCAGAAACGTGCTCAGCAAACGAGAACAATGCCCCGTAGATTTTCAAATTGATGGCTCTTTCCAATGGCAACTAATTTGTTCCAGCCTTGAAGTGAGCATAATTAACAGAGACTTTCTTTCTTAGGCCGATTAACCAGCGAAAACCATGCCAACATTGTAACTGTAAGCAGTGAAAACCAATATTTATGAGGGGGATTGGGCAAGAGTTTGCGTGACAGATGGACATTTTATCACTGTTGATGTTTGGAATTCCCTTGAAAAGTAATGCAATATCTTGTTATTTGCGAATGAATGGACAAACGATTGTGCTTTGCCGGGTTTTCTTTAAAAAGAGGTATACTAAATTAATTTTTTTCTCTGTCTCGCCTTTATTACTTTATGTTAGGTAGGCTCATATATTCTGATGCAAAAGCTGAAAATCATAATTGTGTTTTTTATTACAGATACAGATCCACGTGTTTTAGAAAAACAAGAATTACAGCAGCCAACCTATGTTGCCCTCAGTTACATTAATAGGTAAGTCGTTTACAGAATTTATAGCAACCTCCTATCTGCTGCATGCTTATTTTTTTTTCAATGTAACTTTTGACAGAGTAGGAAAAAAATGTCTTCAGTTTTAAAATATTTACGGGAGGTTATTGAAAATCAACCTTTATATGGGATGTTCTTGTGTCTCCGTTGGGGAGATCAGAAGGTAGTTTGTTCTCTGGGCATAATGCTGAAAAACCGCTGATTTATAAGCTCATTCGGGAACTATTTTGTATGCAGAGTTCAAATATACTCTTTGGACTTCATAGGGCAGTTTGGAGATTAATGGATTTATGTTTGGGTGAAACTTTTAAACGCTGGGGTGAAGAGACATTTTATGAATTAGTGCATTGTTTTCGTATCATCAGAATATAACACACTGAAATAATTCAGTATCAGAAAGCTATTTAGTAGAAGCTCATCTTTGAGTCAAAACGTTGTCAGCAACTGAACTATTGTGAGTTTTTACTGAAAGTGAACATGTGAGCACAAGTTTAGAGAACAGTTAGAACCTGATCTATCAAGTCTGAAAGAGGATGTGGTGTTTCAGCCAACGCAGATAATTTAAGGAGACAGTGATTTTTGCAGAGAACCTGAAATCAGCTTACGGTAAGAAAACTCATACCCCTGAAGAGAGAAAAGCACAGCAAACTAACTTTTTTTGTTTGTTTGTTTGTTTGTTTGTTTAGAGAAAATGTTCTTATCCCCCCTTTACCCCCCACTCCGCACTCATGCCTTCAACCCCCTGGTGTCTGTGTCTATTGGTTGGTTAGGCTTAATACTCATACACACAAGTCCTTTGGTTGAACTAGTTTTTAATGGGAGCGACAAATCCTGCTCATAATTCAATGCATTGCCTTTCTATTGACTCTCCCTTGTTTATATACAACGAAGCGTGTTTTTAGTCATTGGTACCAGAGCTGAGGTTCAGGGTCTGAGGTGGAAAGTTGGGAATGAGTTACTTGTACTGTTTCATTTTAATGCCTTTTTAGAAAACCTGGCTTCAGTCTTGTCTAGCGAGAACTTTGGAGTTGACTGTGCTGTGTCAAGCTCTTTTATGAAGCGTGTTTATAACGGATTCGTTAGCATAAGCATTTATTTGAATACCTGTTTTGTGTTTCCTACTTCCCTGAAAGTGAGAGAAAAGATCTCTAGTTTATCATGACCCATAATTTTTGAGATGTTTAAAGTAGAACACCTTCAAAACCACATGAGAATCAAATAAAGATGTTTATGTGTTATTTCCAGTGGTTAGCATGGGTTTAGGAAAGTCTTTAATTATACATTAGAATTATATGAATGTTAATTAGCCTAGTTATAGTGAAGGATGGGACATCCTTATAGATTAACTGTGGTATTAAGTAGAACTTTTTACTGGTGTGGTTATTATGTTTTGGGTAAAATATGTTACCTGGATATATATAATACAAATTCATGTGATACCAACCCTTGTTCTATTAAGAGTCTGTGAGGTTTTCACGTTCATTCCTCCTGATTAAATTGTCAGCCATGATGGCAGCAAGGATCTATTCATTACACAGGTGTTATACTCACTAAAGAAATACATACTCTGGCCCTCGCCGGTTTGGCTCAGTGGATAGAGCATCAATCTACAGACTGAAGGGTCCTGGGTTCAATTCCAGTCAAGAGCACATGCCCAGGTTGTGGGTTCGATCCCCAGTAGGGGGCGTACAGGAGGCAGTTGATCAATGATTCTCTCTCATCATTGATGTTTCTATCTCTCCCTCTCCCTTCCTCTCTGAAATCAATAAAAATATATTTTTAAAAACATTATTAAAAAGATAAATACTCTGGCCGAAACTGGTTTGGCTCAATAGATAAGAGCGTCGGCTTGGGGACTGAAAGGTCCCAGGTTCGATTCCGGTCAAGGGCATGTACCTTGGTTGTGGGCACATCCCCAGTAGGGGGTGTGCAAGAGGCAGCTGATCGATGACTCTCTCTCATCGATGTTTCTAACTATCTCTCTCCCTTCCTCTCTGTAAAAAAATCAATAAAATATATATTTTTTTAAAAAGATAAATACTCTGCCAGGTGTGATTCAAGGGTGATAATTTAGCATCAACTGTGCAGTGGAATATGCCTGAATCCTAGAGAGTTAGCATAATCAGTGGGTGTGAGATTTCTTGGATGAGTCTTCTGGGAGAAAATGGGTCATTTTTTAAAATAATATTTTATTACTACAGCATTGTAGACAATTTTAAAGTGTAATCAAACAAAAAAATTTTTTTAATTAAAATGTCACATTCCCACCATCCAGCTATCACTACTGATAACACCTTAACAGACTTTCAAATTATTAAACACACACACACACACACACACACAGCGTGGTTCAGTGATTGAGCGTTGACCTATGAATCAGGATGTCACAGTTCGAGTCCCTGCCAGAGCACATGCCTGAATTACGGGCTTGTCCCCCAGTAAGGGGGCGTACAGGAGGCAGCCAATCAATGATTCTCTCTCATTATTGATGTTTTTATCTCTCTCCATCTCTGAAATCAATAAAAATATATTTGGCCTTAGCTGGTTTTGCTCAGTGGATAGAGCATCAGCCTGTGGATTTCGGTCAAGGGCACAAGCCCAGGTTGCAGGCTCGATCCGCAGTAGGGAGTATGGAGGAAGCAGCCAATCAGTGATCCTCTCTCATCAATGATATTTATCTCTCTCTTCTCTTTCCTTTCTTCTTTTAAATCAATAAAAATATATTTAAAAAGCATGCAACAAGAAATGTTTACACTTGTTATGTGTGTGTATGTGTGAATATATGTGTGTGTGTGTGTGTGTGTATATATATATATATATATATATATATATATATATATATATATAGTCATTGATCTCTGCTTTTCCATTTCAGCACACTTGAATGTAATCTATATCTAACCCAGATCATATTTAGATTTTCCCAGATAAAACAAACAAATCCTTTAGAGTTGTCTGTCTCATCCAATGTCCAACCCAGAACACTGCATTACACCTACGTGTTTTCCCCTCATTTCTTTCCAACTGTCTGCACAATCCCTTCTATTAACAGCGACCAGAGAAGGGCCAGGTGTCCCACAGGAGGCTCCTTCCTCTGGGTTTCCTTTTGGTTGTCTGCCTGAAGAGGTCGTTCAGTGAGTTCCTCCATTTTCTGTGTTTGCTATAAACTAGAATTTGGGTCTGGAGAAGATGCACCTTGAACCCATCACATTATTGTATTTAGAGGCCTGAGAAATCAGAGGATTTACCCCATGTCATCTTAGCTAGTAAAGCAGACTTGTGTATGGGGATTGGCACTTTTACTAGTGATTTCTAGGTGAAGGGGACCGTGTATGGAAGGTTGCCCAGGTTACTAACAACCCTCCTCTCTCGGGATCCCTTTCTAAACAGTACCACATTCATAACATGATACTTAACACGTGGTAGACCCTCTGGATGTTTGTTTGTAGATAGTAAATAAACACCTAGTAAAGGGAAGAGGGCAGAGCAACAGGCAGCAGCATGGAGGAAGCCATGTCTGGCCATAGGGAAAGTCTGCTAAAAGCACTCTTGAGGGCCTTTGCTTCAAAAGAGATGCGTTGGAAGTCACCAAGCCAGTGCAGATTCAAGAAGAGACCAATGTAGGTTAAAATGTGGAAAAAAAAATTGTGCTTAATTGCAGTATCCTGACTACAGCAGAAAAGAGGACTATAAAAAAAGTTGAACAAATAAAAAATAAATTTTCTTAAACCTTGGGGGAAAGTAAAATCTAATTTTGCTGAGCAGTGAAGGCAGGAAAAGAATTAATATTTTGCTGCCCATATATCCATTTATCCAACTCTAATGGGCTTTGGGGTGTGTCAGAATTGAGATGAAACTTTCTTTGGCAATAACATTTATTGAAATCAACAGAGTTTGGATCCTTAACATGGAGCTACCTTTTTTTTTTATTATGAAAAGAATTGAGTAGAAACTGGATCCTTTATTTATATCTATCTAATGTTGCTTCACTTCACTCTCTTGAACATAATGTGTCAAACAAACCTTTCATTCCTTTAAAAATAGATCTGTGCCGAAGCCGGTTTGGCTCAGTGGTAGAGCGTCGGTCTGCGGACTGAAAGGTCCCGGGTTCGATTCCCGTCAAGGGCATGTACGTTGGTTGCGGGCACATCCCCAGTGGGGGATGTGCAGGAGGCAGCTGGTCGATGTTTCTCTCTCATCGACGTTTCTAGCTCTCTATCTCTCTCCCTTTCTCTCTGTTAAAAATCAATAAAATATATTTTAAAAAAAATAGATCTGTTACAATCCCTGCACAAATTTAAAACAGAAATAGTTTAATGAGAATGAGGGAGATTGAATGAATTAGTGAAGGTGGTGGGAATAATTCTGCAGGGGGGAAAAAAAGATGGGTATATATTGCAAAGATAGGAAGTTCTGCTAATTTTGTAATGTGAGGAACAATGACAAGTCTGTGTAATGGGAAATTTAATTGTTTAGTCTGTATATTACTTATGCATCTGGAAAATATCGTGTAAAAGGCAAGAAGGAAAACTAGAAGATTTTGAGTAAGAGAATATAGAAGAAATAACACTATAAAAGCAAAAATAATACTTTTACACCTTGTGTTATAATATTCTCCATTTTATGGATGCAGAAGTTGAGACTCAAGTTAAATAACTTGCCCTAGTTCGGGGGGGGGGGCGGGGGGGGCGGGGCGAGGTAGGGACCTGGGGAATACTGGGTTCAAATCTGCCCCATCAGGCTCTCGGATCTGTGCTCCTAATCACTGTGTAGCCTGACTTGTTGGGCTATCAGAGAGGAAAGTTCTATTTAGAAACGTAAGAAGGGAATTTGGAAAACCAATGGAAAAATTGGATAGGACATTTGGGCAGAGGGAGCACATACAAAAATAAGAGTAATTCCCAGGCTGTAAATAATTGGAGGGTAGCTGCCTAGTAAGATGAAAAGTAGGAGACAGCAGAAGCTAAAAATGTTATGAGAGGTGA